GTAAAGTTGCGGGAAATCGGAAAGTTGCGGGGTGGAAGTCTGGAGGTAAGAACTATAGCTTGGAGCACGAATTCTATTTTCCTTGTCTCTTTCTCTCTCTCTCTCTCTCACTGCTTCTGTCTCTTTCTCTGTCTTTCTCTGGCCTTTTCTGTTCCTCTTTATCCTCTGTCTCTTTCTATATCTCTTTCTCTTTCTGCCAATTCCTCTTGCTATCTCTCTCTTGTCTTTCTCTTTGCCTTTTTCTGCTTTCTCTTTCTCTTTATCTTCCTCCTCCTCTTTCTCTTCCTCTCTCTCTTCTGTCTCTTTCTTCTTTCTCTGTGTCTTTCTCTTTCTCTCCTTGCTCTCTCCCCTCCAGTCACGCAAAAAACCCGAGCTTCGGGCCGACCCACAGGGTTCAGCGCCGAGCTTTTGAGGTCGACCCCAAGGAGTGGCGCGATCGCGAGCGAAACGAAGATCGCGGCAAGCCACGTTTGCATAGGTGGGCTTCTGGAAAAATCGATGGGTTTCCCTGGTGAATGGGGCATAAACCCCATCTAACCCAGGGCCCTCTATTTTTTGAGCAAACCAAAAAAGAACACCTCTCACCGCGAGCTGCTCACGGTCTGCCCGAAGTGTCCCGAAGCTTCACCGATCGAAGGCCGCGAAGCCGCGCGCGGCCGTGTCTGTGCATGTCTCTTCCTCTGTTCTCCCGATGTTCAGCCTTGTCTTTGCCCGTTTCGCACGCAACCATGCTCAGCGAAAAAAACAACTCGAGTAGGTACGGAAGGCCGGTCTAAACATTCTTCGATGATATATGTTATAAATCATATACGCATGTGTGCGTGTGTCTGTGTGTGTGTGTCTGTGTGTGTGTGTGTGTGTCTGTGTGTGTCTGTGTGTGTGTGTGTCTGTGCGTGTGTCTGTGTGTGTCTGTGTGTGTCTGTGTGTGTCTGTGTGTGCCTGTGTGTGTCTGTGTGTGTCTGTGTGTGTGTGTCTCTGTGTGTGTGTCTGTCTGTGTGTGTCTGTGTGTGTCTGTGTGTGTCTGTGTATGTGTCTGTGTGTGTCTGTGCGTGTGTGTCTGTGTGTGTCTGTGTGTGTCTGTGTGTGTCTGTGTGTGTCTGTGTGTGTCTGTGTGTGTGTGTCTGTGTGTGTGTGTCTGTGTGTGTGTGTCTGCGCGTGTGTGTGTCTGTGTCGGTTTGTGTGTCTGTGTGTGTCTGTGTGTGTGTGTCTGTGTGTGTGTGTGTCTGTGTGTGTGTGTCTGTGTGTGTGTGTGTCTGTGTGTGTGTGTCTGTGTGTGTGTGTGTCTGTGTGTGTGTCTGTGTGTGTGTGTACTGTGTGTGTGTGTGTGTGTGTTGTGTGTGTGTGTCTGTGTGTGTGTGTCTGTGTGTGTGTCTTGTGTGTTTGCGTGTGTGTTGTGTGTGTGTGTGCTTTTGTGTGTTTGTGTGTTTGTGTGTTTGTGTGTTTGTGTGTTTGTGTGTTTGTGTGTTTGTGTGTTTGTGTGTTTGTGTGTTTGTGTGTTTGTGTGTTTGTGTGTTTGTGTGTTTGTGTGTTTGTGTGTGTGTGTGTTTGTGTGTGTGTTTGTGTGTTTGTGTGTTTGTGTGTTTGTGTGTTTGTGTGTTTGTGTGTTTGTGTGTTTGTGTGTTTGTGTGTTTGTGTGTTTGTGTGTTTGTGTGTTTGTGTGTTTGTGTGTTTGTGTGTTTGTGTGTTTGTGTGTTTGTGTGTTTGTGTGTTTGTGTGTTTGTGTGTTTGTGTGTTTGTGTGTTTGTGTGTTTGTGTGTTTGTGTGTTTGTGTGTTTGTGTGTTTGTGTGTTTGTGTGTGTTTGTGTGTTTGTGTGTTTGTGTGTTTGTGGGTTTGTGGGTTTGTGTGTTTGTGTGTTTGTGTGTTTGTGTGTTTGTGTGTTTGTGTGTTTGTGTGTTTGTGTGTTTGGGTGCGTGTGCGTGTGCGTGTGCGTGTGCGTGCGTGTGCGTGTGCGTGTGCGTGTGCGTGTGCGTGTGCGTGTGCGTGTGCGTGTGCGTGTGCGTGTGCGTGTGCGTGTGCGTGTTTGCGTGTTTGCGTGTTTGCGTGTGCGTGCGCGTGTGCGCGTGCGGGTGCGGGTGCGGGTGCGGGTGCGGGTGCGGGTGCGGGTGCGGGTGCGGGTGCGGGTGCGGGTGGGTGGGTGGGTGTGTGTGTGTGTGTGCATGCGATGTTTATGTGTGTTTGTGCATCTGCGTCACTGTGTATCTGTGTGCCTGTGACAGTGTCTGTGTCTGTGTCTGTGGCTGTGTGTTTGCACTTGTGCCTGTGTTTGTAGTTGTATCTGAATCTCCCTGTATGCGTATCCATCAAGCCTTTGGAAACCCCTCAATATGATTGAATTCCTTTGGTAAACTTGGCTTCTTGAATATCGGCAAGCTTGCGGTTCGTTGAAACCTGTTGAGACAGTGGAGTCATGCCCATGGATGTGCCATAAACCTGGGCTGGAATTAGGACCCCAGCATTTTTGTTTGCCTGGTTAGTGGGAAAACAAAGGGAACCCCAAGAAAAAAAAGGGGGACCTAACTCTGGGAAAGAAACGCTCATGTGCCTTTGAAATCTGGTCGCCTGCCGCAGCCTCCGAGCCACCCACCTCCGATTTTTCTGCCGAAGGGCGGGACCGGGAGGAATCAAACTCCGAGCCGTCGAGCAACGTGCCCACGTAGTGCACCGTGACATCGTCCCCAGGCTTGGGGGTCTTGTAGTGCGACTCCGGGGCCTCCTAGAATTGTTCCAAACCCACAACGAGGGTAGGATATTTTGCGACCTCTAAGGGAAACCAAAGGAAACTCAAACTATTGCCTATGAAATTTGTTCTGCTGGAGCATCCCGGTCAAAAGTTCAACCATGTTCGGCCCAGTCCGCAGCAACCCTAAACAAAACCCATGCATAAGCCTCCACAAAAATTCGCATTCTCCCGGGCAAGACTCTTTGTGACTGGCCTTCTGAACCAAAACAGCCTAACAGCTACATCCTCGCACAGTCTAACATGCACGACAGCCAAGCTGCAGAATCCATGTCGACTGCGGCTGGCAGAATCACATTGGCCAAATAAGGGCGACCAAAATGGCTAACTCGGCGCAGAACCCATCGTTCAAGGAATTGAAAGTGAGCCTCCTTTGTGCATGAGTCGGCAATGATTACAACTAGTTCCTCCAGTAGAGAGGTTAGAATAAGGGTACCCGATGTTTTTTCTTTTTCTTTTTTTCTGTTTTTAGTAGGGGAACCCTCCCCCACAAAAGGGTAAAAGGGCACTACTGGGGGACCTAGACAATGAGTCCAAAGCCTAAAATACGAACTGGATCCCCAAGCAAAGGACCTTTGTGATGAGCTCGGTTTACCCCCGAATCGGTGAGCTCACCATAATGAACGCAACAGCATGTGAATTGTAAGGGCCACTTTGCGAGCGGCCGTTCTTCGAAATGGGAAGATACCTAATGGGCACTCCGTGAGACACCGTGGATGAACACAACACGGGGAACCACCATCTGGCATACGGCTTACTGCAAGGATTGAGTTTGCACAACCCAACTGGCCAAGTGCGCAACGCAAGCATTGGTAACGGGACCACTCCGGTCTTTATAGCCTTTTGCCCAAAGCCCTGGACAGAAAAGGTGAAGCTGTTGGAGTTGTGACTATTGATCAACAAAAAGGATTGGCCCAGCAGTCTGAGCTCCTTGATGATCTCCTTCTGCACACCCTCTGGCAGTCCGGCCGCGTCTATGTCCATGTCCGCGTCATCCATCTCCAAGTTGTCCATTGGGACCTCCTCGTCCGAGTCCATGTCGAAAAGTGCCCGAATCTGTACAGGCTGTAAGCCAAATTCTGCACGTCCACCGAAAGTCGCCCGAAAAGCCCCAGAAAACTCTTCAAACCGCTGACACGAAAGCACGTCAGATGAACAGCAGGCGTCAGTACGGCCCATGACTTGATCGTGTTTCAAACAACAAATAATTACGTGAGGCTATCTAACTCTGATTCAACCCCGAAGAGAACCAGACTGCAAACTGGATTCATAAGGATTTGGCAAAGCATGAGCGACCCCCTGGCGAGCATCTTGCGCTGGCAACACCTTGGTTGGCTCATCAACTCACAGGCACGTCTGTTTCACGCTTGCTTCGTTCAAAATGCGGTCACTCAGTTGGGTTATCATCAATCCAGACTGAGCGCAGCATAAATCAAGAAAACAATGGTGAAATGATTAACCACTCTCCCACTATTCAAGACAATACTAGCAGGAAATAGTTGACAAAGCAAGGAATTCTCAAATGAACGGGTTCCTCATGCTTTTTTGGCAAATCCGTCCAAAGAAGGGTCCGTCCAACATGTTGACGCACCCTTCTCCCTCCGGCAAGTATGTAAAATGCGCCAAAAGAAAAACACCACTCCAAACGCGGCATCCTGTCGTCCTTTCACCATGAAACGAACAAGGCAGCAGACATGTTTGACGCTGTGTAAAACAGAAGGCAATGGATATTCGCATTCCAGAAGCTCGGCCGGCCAAGCTCGCGGACTGAGGTTTGGTGCCCATTGGCTGAAGTGCAGGACTGGACCCGGATTTTGGGTGACCCATGGGTTCTATCTGAGTGCTGCATCCATTTGTCATGGTCACATGTCTTGCAATCTGGTTCAGACGGCCGCCCTCAGAATTGAACAACCTTGAGCGATCACTTGGAGCACAATCTCCCCACAAGGCACATCCCCATAAATGAAGTCGCAGGTTGAACGCAGGTTTCTTGACAAAGAGACTCCAGTTGTTTAAGGTTGCAAATTTTCAGACCTACACGGTAATTAGACTGTAGACAAGACAACACAAATTGAACAGATCCCTTTGACAGAATGAAAGCTGAGCATTATGGAAGATATGGTAATTGCACCTCCTTATATGTGCTTTCCAGTGTAGCCTTCTTGATTTGAAGATGTCACGACAGTTCCTTCAATCCATTTGGTTTGCCTTCAAAGGGGACGAGCCCTGGTGTTTTTTTTCCACGCAATTCGACGGCAGCGCTTCATCTCAGCTTCGTATGCCTTTTCGCTCTTCCTCGCAGCGTCCAACGAACCCTCCCAAACGGGCCATGCTCATGGCTGCCTTAACCGGAATCCTCACCCTGTCTAAAATTTCTACGAGGTTGATGACCTTCCTTGACACCCCGCAAGCAAAAAGCCCTTTTGTCCATGTGCGCCTGGGTTTGAGTGAAAAAGACATAACATGCGCAGCAAAGCCCAGTATCTTCTGCTGCGTTCTGTGAGTGCGTCAGTGTGTTTGTCTGTGTGTTCGCTGGAAAATACAAGCCACATCTTCGAACGTTCATTGCCTTCCAAGGTTGAGAAACCCAGCTGTTGCAAGGACCCACAGACAGGACCCGGTCCTGTCGTCCTGACTAATGTTACACCTCCTTTTTTCATAGCACCCGCTATGAATAGCAGGACCCCCAGAATTGTTTTTCCTAAGGAGGGTCCAGCTGACTGGTTCCACTCCTAGCGAGGGGGGCTGTAAAGAGGGTCCAAAATTATCAAAGAAATTAGAAGGGATCCCATGCAAGTGCCCAGTACTACGCCCAGTTCCTCTTGGCGTGTCAGGGCCCCAGGTGTCGCATCCACAAATAACAAAAAGCTGCGCCCATCGATCCCAGACAGGCGCGTTCCCCGATTTCTCCAAAGGCACAACTGCCTTAGCTTGGCACCCCATCACATTTTTTGCGATTCTGGTCCATAGATGTTCGAACAAAAGAAACGCTTTCAAGGTGCCGGTTGGTTGCTGAAACAAATTGTCCCTATATAGTGAGCCTTCTGAGCTGTCCTCAGATCCCCCGCTAAAAGTGAATAACTTTCAGTGGGCTAAATGGAAAACTACCACCAAACACTCAAAAGCTAACAAGCTAAGGGTTCAACCGGATGGCTGGGAGCCACCAAGCCTTGAATTCCAAAATCATTTTCCCAAAACAAGAGGCTGAGGGAATGGCCGGGAGTCACCAAGTTCCTATATAGTGAGCCTTGAAACGTAACATCCTCATCCCCAACGAATCGCTGCGTGCGCCGGACTGAGCGCAAGGCCGAAGACCGCAAATGTATGCCATCATCTCCTGAGGCGCCATCGGCGCAGCTTCTCGGAAGCCGTTGGCTTTCTCCGGCAACGAAACGAAGTGGTGCCAGTCATCCAAAACGCGGATGCCCAGTGGATTGCCATGGGAGAAAGGGCATCCTTTTTTGGTTGGTTCCGCCTTTTGGGGAACCCTTCCCACAAAAAGGGATAAAAAGAAGGGGGCGGAATACACTGGTCAACTGGGAAGGCTTTCCGCAACTGGGCTTATGCCAACCTCCTCCTGTTAGCTCCTTCCAAGGCTCACAGCAAAGCAACAAAATGGACGAGACGAACGCAGAACTCATCGTCCATGACCCCACGTGCATTTCCGTGAAAAGGCGATCCCTGCGGTCCCCTTGGCTGTTCCATATCTCACGAAAATGGGACCAAAACAAGAGGCCTGGTCTCACTTCCTGGGTGGATTGGCCAAAAAGTCCAAACCTTTAGAAATGGTCCAAACCCAAAAAGTCTTTCAAGTCCAGAATTTTGGGAAGCTTGGCGTTGCTCTGCGTTGCTGTTGGCGCCAATTCTGCTCAGGCGCTTTCAGGAAGAGTCCGCAGATCTGTGCCTGGCCAGGCGAAAACACATACCCCCCCCCCCGGCGCGGCAAGGCAGCGGAGATCAATTCGAAGCCTCCAGCAAAAACACTGCATCGTTGCTTCAGCAAAACGTTGGACCCAAACCAGCCTTAAGCCCCACCGATTTGTCGCCGCGTCGCAAACCACTGGAAGCAGCGGAGTGCTCAGGGTGGTTTCAAAGACAAATCGGCCCAGGATGTGCATTTAGCTGGTGGCCGCGGTGTGAAAAGGAATGGTGCGTAAGCAAATGGAAGAATAGGCCTTACACTATTGGCGCTGGCATGCCCCGTTTCCTCATGCGTGTTGGCCCAAGGGATTTTCTCGATCCAGCCATCCTGCCCTAAGGCATCCTTCCCGTCGTGTCAGGCTCCGCTTTTCCGCCCCAATAAGGCTACAGGCACAGGCTGTGCGGTGGGAAACCTGGGAGGATGCTGCACGTACAGCTCGCCTCTCCCATGAAGTGGTGATTCTTGCTTCGGGCAGCGCGAAAGCTTCTGACAGCACGCGGCCGGCATGTCTCAGTGCGTCTCCCCGGAGCCCAGGCTGGACATGGCCGAGCTGAGGCGCTGAGGGATCCCTCAATACGCAGGGGAGCCGGTAGCAACAGCTGCAAGGAGAAGGATCGACCACAAGAGCAATTTAACAAGCTGGGACTTTACGCTTGAGGTGAAGCCCCGGCCGGGGCTTCACCCTGGCTGGTTGGTTGCTTGGTTGCTTGGTTGCTTGGTTGCTTGGTTGCTTGGTTGCTTGGTTGCTTGACAGCTTGGCTGGCTGGCTGGCTGGCTGGCTGGCTGGCTGGCTGGCTTGTTGGTTGAAGTTGACAGGTTGAACATTTGATGAGCGATCGAATAGAGAAGAAATTGGTTTGACGCTGTTGCACTCACCTCTGAAGGTGTGTTGGTGAGAAGATTTCATGCGACAAGAGGCAAGCAAGGGATCGCCAAACCTTAGACACTTGCCTGCTAGACCAAAGATCACGGCCCATGGTGTGTGTGAAACAGATATAGGACAATCACGCTGCGTAGGAAAGGTCAAAGGCAGAAAATAACTGTGTGGAGTCACATGCCATTGCAGGCTTCCAGGAACCTGATCAAGAACATCTCCGAAGACATTCCTTCCACAATATTTTTGCTAGCAGCCAATTCTTGGCATGAAAAAGACACGGGCTGATCAGAGGTGCAGGGATGTAGGAGGATGAGCGGATGGCCATTTCTCGGCAAGGACGGCAGATGTGTGACTCTTGGTTCATTTGCTGATCTTCTGTCCCGCAAAGATTTGACATGTACATTGTGCTGAGTTGACTGGTCGAAGAACGATATCTTCACTTCCAACGGTCCCCAGCCTGTTCCAGGGAATTACGATCCCATGCCCGTTCATTTCCGCCAAGCCCCCCGCGTTTGCTGTAGGTTGCTACCCAGAAGTGTGGCTGGGATCTCAGGGTAGCCCTGAGGTTCTGCTGGCGGTTGTTGAAGGTAGCCCACCCTGGGGTTTTGCGTGCATGCTGGAATAAGGATTGGAGCTGCCTCGATGCTAGCCTGGGTTTAGGATTGGAGCGTGGAAGCTAGAATTAGCTTGGAGTGGCCACGGAGGCCAATTCAAAAACCCAACGATCTCAACCTGCCGGGCAGGGAACAATTCGTGTTGTGGTTGGCCCTGGAGAAACAACTGCACTCCCGCCCCCAACAACGAAGCTCACCGGTTCCCTAGGCAAGCAAGGAAACCTAATATGCTGACCAGACATCACTCATGCCTGCATCATATGCCTCTACCGTTGTCAAGACGGCTGAGGTGGGAAAGTTGGAATGCGGAAGTGCTGAGATACAATGGAATGAGTTTGAACATGGTGAAAGGAAATCATTTGACAATGTAAACTCGTGATTATCACTGCATGTAAACCATGGCATAAAATACATGTAGTTACATTGTATCAGATTGTGACTTGTGTCCAAACAAAGAGACTGAAGATGGGGCATTCAAATCAATCAATATAACATGCGTACACATTTGGACTCAACCGACGCTTCCCAGTTGTACACCACATAAGTGATTGAACCATAGCCGTTTGCCAGGTTGTTTTAGAGGGAAACCAAGAGCAAACCACCCGTCCCCACGTTTGAGGGTTTTTTTTTGGGGTCCAACATTTTTGTTGAGCACCCAAATTTGAGACCACCCTCTTAACATGTTTCCAGCATGGCGGCTCCATGTCTTCAATTCGCGCCTCCCGCTCGGTGCAAGAGCGCAGGTTCATGCTGAGCATGAGGGTCCTGAGCTCAGATTTTGGGAATTGAGTTGCCTTTCTCAAGCTGATCTCATACGGCCGGTTGAGACGGTGAAAACACCCCCCCCCCCCCCCCAAAAAAAAAAAGAAGAACTGAACTCAAAACAACAACTGGCACCCGTTTCAGGTTGGTACGGGTAACGGAAAGGAACACCGTTTGCGCCATGTTCAGGGCTCGGAGCCCAACATCTGACAATCCATTTGGTGTTGAAAAGGCAACTCAACAAGGAACCACTTGGAAACAAACCGAACATAGGAATAATGGGAACAAACATAGGAATAATAGGAACACCAATCAGTCAGTTGACCAAGTTCCAGCAAGGCAAAAGGAGGTGGTCTACGCCATTGATCAAACAAGGCTAACCAAGTTGAACCACGGCAAAGGGAGGTTGTTGAAGCCAGTTGTGGGAATCCGTTTCTTGAATTGCGGATGAAGCAACAGTGGTCAGCCACAGGAAGGCTTCTGAGTAGGCTCGATCTGTCCAAATGCGTCTGCATGGAATCCGAAACGTCCGAGGCTTTGATGCCCACCGGCTTCACAGCGATGTAACAACCAGGCGCCTGTTTCGGCAAGATTTTTAGGGAACCAACCTGAAACCTGCTGGGGGTCTAACTTGCAGGACCCGCACCTATGAAGCTCTGCGCAGGCACTTGACATCCCGCCCCCGGGTAGTTCTCGCGCATAGCTTCAGAACAAGGCACACTCTTAAAGAGCGCTATTGCTAGAAAGCCAAGCGGATGAGGTGTGAGCGTGTCACAGGAATCGAAGCTGACATAAGAGCCGCGCCAACTGTTGTAGAAGTCCAGGACCAAGAACCTGCAATTCGACGCTGTCGAGAGCCAGAAGGTCAAACGCTGGCTGTTTTTCTTGCGTCCTATGTGGGATCTTTCTTGTGAGGCAGCCCCTTCCTTGGTGCTTTTTAACTGAAACCGACGGGAAAAAAAAACAAAAAAAAACGTTTTTAGATGTCCGAATCCAGGCACGCCCATGTTTCAACCCTCTCCCATGGATACCTTTGGGCCCCCAAGGCTGTCACGGACCTCAGTTGGAGACCCTGGCGACCTCAGACCCAGGCAAAGAAGACCTTGGAACCAAGGATCCCATGGTAAACAGGACTGTACGGAAAGGGTTTGCATACGGGTCATTTAGAACCCAGTGAAGAAAGCCCACACACACCCACCCACCCACACCCAGCCACCCACCCACCCACGCACGCACGCACGCACACAGGCACTCTGCCATGCCAGGCTCACCCCGGGGTCTTGATCTTGATCAGCAGCCGCGCAAACTTGCAGCAGAAGAGCGCATCTGGCGGCTTCAAGAAACTTCCGGGATTGAAAACTCTCCTATTAAACTTTGCAAAGGCACCCCCAGTTTCATATTCAGATATATTCGGTGTTTGGCGAGCAGGTATGTTTGAATCAAGTCAAAGGGGCAAACAAGGTTGTTGGAACCTACAGGGCCTGACTATATGTTGTGATGCTCAGTGTGTACCTTTCAGATTCCCCTGGACAAGGAATCCGCACTTTGACTATTCCCGTCCATTCTCCACGTGTTTCGCACAATTTGGAACTCAGGTTTGTGTCGAAACAGAAACATGATCGTTGCACCTGATCGTTGCAGCTTGTGTACCCCGCATTTGCCCCCTTTGACCCTCACGGGGCGGTCTTGAATGCCCCTTCCGAGCGCGAAGGGGCCAATGTCTTGCAAGCTTCCACGTAGCGTGTCTCCAGAGAAAACCCCGCAAGTTTCCCCTTGCCTTCTCGCAAAACAGAAGGGGGGCTAGTTAGTGCAAACATATTCACAATATGGCGGTGTTTTTGTTCGCGGAGCCTTTCCACACAAGCTTAAAGGGAAACCAAAGCGAAGATTCCCTTCTTGGATCTCCCCTAACTTTGAGACGCACTCATACTGCGGATGGACGAAATCCTGCACCACCTAAGAAGCCCTGGAATGATTCGATTCCCTTGTAAATACCCAACAAACAATGGCTTCGCATAGTTTCCAAGTGGTGCAGGATTTCGTATCAGCATGAAACTCCATTCTCAAATGCCGCGCTCCAGGGGTTTTGTCTCGCCTGCAGGTGAAGTGAGCGCGCGCGGAACAAGCATCTCTGCCACCTCAAGGAACGGTGGAGCCCAACTTCGATGCTGTTCCCCCTGCAAAGCAACTCAGAACTTCATAACTTCACAAAACAAAACAGTCGCAACTTGTTTAGCCTTTTGCCTCCGTTGGGTTCCATGTCAATTTGCAGGGGAGTGAGTTTGTGGTTTAGTTGTGGGGGTCCCTTCCCTCTGCCCACCCCAGAAGCCGGCCGGACCCAAAACGGGAGCCCACCACTCCTAAGCCTAAGCTACCACCTGATTCGTTCCTGAACAGCACCAGTCCTTTGGGTGCATCATGCGGCTTTTACCTGTCTATCACAACAAAAGCTGTCCTCATTTCGAGACAATTGCCACCGTGCTCAACATTGAGGACACCGGGTGCTTGTTAGTGCTCCGGTTCGCGCAGTTTTCAGCCAATTTCGAGACTGGCCGCTGTGTTGATCAAACATGTTCGAAATAGCGGGAGCTCTTGTTGGTTGGGGGTCAAGGAAAACAACAAGGACGCAAATCATGTTTAGGGGGCATGGTTTGAGAAGTGGAATGGCGAATATCAAGCAGGTGTCCTCAACTGATCTCCCCCTCCCTCATGGCGATGCACGATTTGGATCGATTTGGCGAGTCTACCAATGTCGCCCCATTTCCTCGGTAGATGATGGTGAATGTTACTGAATCTCTCACTTAGCCTGGGGCTCCGAGCAAAGGCGTGTGTCGCCTCGGGGCCATACTTCAAGAACCTGGGTGGAACAAATGCTTGTCACCACGCCGTTTGCATATTGTGAAGCATCGGCAATGAATCTTTTCGTAACATAACCATCTTTTCCACATCCGATCTATACTTGGTTGACGTTGGAAGGGGAGCAACAATTTAAATTTGAGCAGTTAAGTGGGGATTTCAACCACTAAACCACAATAAGCAAAAATGTAAAATGTGCCCCAACGACAACCAAGTATAAGCCTGGATTCGGTCTGACCTCCTGGTTTCCCTTGGTTACCCACGGCGTTGGGAAACACTGCCGAACCACTGGGCTCCGGCCAACCGTTCTTCTCTTGCTCCAGCCGTGCCAAGACCTGGCGGATCGCTTCAAAGCGGATCGGCAAAATGGGGTCCTGCAGACTTCTATGGATGGCTTCCTTTTCAGCCCCCCTGTTTATTCAATTGGGTGTGTCTGTTTGTAGGGGAACCCCGATGATGGGGTACTCTCAAAACCAGAACCACCCAATTATTGAGAGGAACCCCGATTTTGGGATGAATAAATCGCTTCAAGAAACTTTGCTGTAAGGTGCTTCATAACAAATCGAGCAATGATTTCCGGGCTCCGAATGTCCAAAGAAGAGCCGATAGGCTAATGGATGGGTCCTCCGTCATTCAACACATAAACTGTTGTGCATGCCACGCACGCGTTCAGCAAGTCAGTCCATCATTGTGCATTTCAGAAGTGGTCATGGCCCCGGACCAATTCGACAACCCAGGCGACAGTTGCGGCGCAAGTGGCCTGTGTAACAGACAAACACACGGTGTCACCCTGGGGCCGATTGCATTCTGCCCGCAAGATGACCGAGACAAGCAAAAGTTTGTATCTTGCAATATGCCCCGAAGATCTGATGCTCTTTTTTTCCCGACACCAGAGCTCTACTTTTAGCGGTGGCAGCAAGCTGGCTTGCCTGTTCTGCAAGACTACGCGGGACTGAAGCAGTAATGACAAATACCAACAAACGATGTGTTGTTGTTTTTTTAAACATCTAGACATACATTCATCTGGATTGTGAATGTAAGGGCACGGAAAAATGACCGCCCAATAGAACGCCTGTTGACCAAATGCCAAAAACATCTGATCCAGCTGATAGCTCGCTGATCCCCTGCAATGACTCAGCCCCGTCATCCCCAGCTGTTGAGGTTGTTGGCCCCGTTGGTGGCGACACAAACAGGGACTTTGAGGGTGCCACTAAACACATGCATACGCATTATTGTATATGTCAAACATTTATACATAGTTGTATACCCATATGTATATATATATATATATGTATACATATATATGCATACTATGAGTATCATCATTTGTTGTAAATACATACATACATACATACATACATACATGCATGCATACATACATTACATACACATACATACATACATACATACATACATACATTACATTACATTACATTACATTACATTACATTACATTACATTACATTACATTATACATTACATTACATTACATACATACATACATACATACATACATACATACATACATACATACATACATACATACATACATACATACATACATACATACATACATACATACATACATACATACATACATACATACATACATACATACATACATACATACATACATACATACATACATACATACATACATACATACATACATACATACATACATACATACATACATACATACATACATACATACATACATACATACATACATACATACATACATACATTACACATACATACATACATACATACATACATACATACATACATACATACATACATACATACATACATACACATATACATACATACATATACATACATACATACATACATACATACATACATACATACATACATACATACATTACATACATACATACATACATACATACATACATACATACATACATACATACATACATACATACATACATACATACATACATACATACATACATACATTACATACATACATACATTACATACATACATACATACATACATACATACATACATACATACATACATACATACATACATACATACATACATACATACATACATACATACATACATACATACATACATACATACATACATTACAGACATACATACATACATTACATACATACATACATACATACATACATACATACATACATACATACATACATACATTACATTACATTACATTACATACATACATACATACATACATACATACATACATACATACATACATACATACATACATACATACATACATACACATACATATACATATACATACATACATACATACATACCATACCATACCATACCATACATACCATACATACATACATACATACATACATACATACATACATACATACATACATACATACATACATACATACATACATACATACATACATACATTACATACATACATACATACATACATACATACATACATACATACATACATACATACATACATACATACATACATACATACATACATACATACATACATACATACATACATACATACATACATACATACATACATACATACATACATACATACATACATACATACATACATACATACATACAGTACATACATACATACATACATACATACATACATACATACATTACATACATACATACATACATACATACATACATACATACATACATTACATACATACATACATGCATACATACATACATACATACATACATACATACATACATACATACATACATACATACATACATACATACATACATACATACATACATACATACATACATACATACATACATACATACATACATACATACATACATACATACATACATACATACATACATACATACATACATACATACATACATACATACATACATACATACATACATACATACATACATACATACATACATACATACATACATACATACATACATACATTACATACATACATAACATACATACATTACATACATACATTACATACATACATACATACATACATACATACATACATACATACATACATACATACATACGTACGTACGTACATACATACACACAGACATACATACATACATACATACATACATACATACATACATACATACATACATACATACATACATACATACATACATACATACATACATTACATACATACATTACATTAATACATACAT